GTACATTTGTCTATATGATAATATACTGTATGATCATCAGCACTGGTATTTTGCTGTTTGATGTTGTACTACATGGTAGTCAGCTTTGGTGTTTTTCTATTTAGTATATGTTATATGATAGTATTTCACTATTTGAATATTACAATATATTCAAGTTTAGTATTTCACTATGTATGATACCGTATATGGTATTCAGTTTTAGCATTTGACTACTTGATATTATGTAGTATGATATTCAGCTTTAGTCTTGAGTTATATGCTATTATACTGTATGCTTCTTAGCTTTAGTATTTGGCTATTTGCAATTATGCTGTTTGTTATTTAGCAGTATCACATTTGGCAATATCACATTCTCTTCTGTAGCATGAAGAGGAAGCCTTTATGTTTTAAGGGATTAGCTGCATTCTTCTGGGATTGAAAACAGACTGATCTGAAGTGCTGTGGAATACTTTAAACATTATCTATGTGTGCGTGTATGTATGTATATATGGCCGTATTTTGCATTTCATGTGATCCCTTGCTCTCGGTGTATATGAAGAGGGGAGCCACCAGAGGGCAGCACTGTCCACTGATTTCTTTTTGTGCACTGTACAAATTAGCAGTTTGAATAGTATTAATGGGATCACCCTTTTTTTGGAGCCACATCCCAAGAAACTGGGGACAGGGTTGGGTGTCATATTACTCAGATCTCTAATCTTGGTAGGTTTGCTTAAAACCCCCCAAAACCAATGAAATGCGAAGAGCTGAGAGACAATTGGACAGCCAGATCAGAATGATGGTGTGTGGTTGGCCTGAATGCCTGTAGTCCTTATGGAAACCAGTACTCTGTCCCTGCCCTTTCCAGTGGAAGGAAAGTTCCCATGGACACAAGGGGGAGCTTTCCACCTATTAAAAAGAGTAAGTGTGCAGAATGGTGAATTTTGTATCAAACACTTCTAGAGGGCCCCAGGCTGTGGAAGACTGATGTACCGGTCTCCTGCACCTTCCAATTCTCCAAGGACCCCATCAACAGAAACCATGGTGGCTCAGAGTCAAGGCACTGTGAAAGGGCATTGCCAGGTGGGAAGATTTTAGGCCTTCCTTCCCTGAGCTCTGCTTGTGGAGGCTGCATCTACACTGCAGAATGAATGCCATTTGACATCCCTTTCACTGTCAAGGCTCTGTGTGATGGAATTCTAGGATTGGTAGTTTTGTGAGATGGAAGAAGAAACCATATTACCTTGCCCATCTTTACAACAGCCCTGTAAGTGGATCTGCAGTATTACTGAGCATTGCCTGTTCCCTCATGAATCAAGACTGAATCTACACTGCAGAATGTTTGACACCACTTTAACTGCCAAGGCTCCATGCGATGGCATTCTGGGATTTGTACTTTTGTGAACTGTTTATCCTTCCCTGTCAGAGAGCTCTGGTGCCACCACAGACTACAAATCTCAGGATTCCATAGCATGGAGCTATGACAGTTAATTCTGTTCTGCTCTGGTGCCAGAACAAACAACTATTTCCAGAATTCCACAACCTTGAGCCATGGCCATTAAAGTGATGTCAAACTGGATTATTTCTGCAGTGGATGCAGCCTAAGCAATAGTGCAGGAGTGGGATACACATCTGGCCAACTCCAGCTGGAGGAGTCGGATGGCTCACTGTGGGTTCCATTTGCTTCCTTCTTCCCAACATTTTCCACAGTCAACTCTCACTCACAAAGGGATATTCAGATTTCCTGAATAATTCAATGCAGATACATGTATGTACACATGTGTATACATATTCATCTATATTTCTCCAGATATGGCTGAATTCTTACTACAAAGAGGATGGATGAGGAGCATGGGACCCACTGGGAGGATGACCAAGTCGGGCCCTACACCAGCCTCCCAGGTAGCTTGGGTGGAAACCACCAGAAAAAGGTGTTGAGAAAAGTGCCTTGTTGAGGATCATCTTGGCAGCTGCAGTGCAGCTCACAGGCGCAGCTTTAATCCTTTTCTTCTCCGTGAGTGATAATGTGGACAAGATTTTTATAATCCAGGTTGCCAGTCACATCTGGTGGGAAAGCTGCAAACATTTGGTCAACCTGTTGGAAGGAAAAGAGATGAGGACAGCTCCTTTCAGTTGCTAGAACTGCAAAGTTTTCCTTGCTGCGGTTAATAGACATGGATCACAATAGGTACGGAAGCCCATCTCTGCTTCCTCAGAATTAAGTCCACAGAGTTTGGTGCAACTTAACACCTAAATCAGTGCGCATAGGAAAAGCATGCACTTGTGGGAAATAAGTGCATGCTTATTTCATCAGCATCATTATCTTCATTGTCCTCCATAATAGTTTAGATTTCGATTGTAACTGCAATGAGGAATGAAGGGAGAAAATAAAAACTATAGCTTCTCTTTTCTCTTTTCTAATGAATGACCCTGGACCCCAGGTTCTGGGCCTGAAATGTCAGGGTCTAGGTTGTGTCTGACCCAGCAACCGTACCCAGAGGCCATTTGTAGGCCCCTCATTTTGATTTTGAGAGCCAGTGGGACGTAGTGGTTTGAGTGTTGGACTATGACTCCAGAGACCAGTATTCAAATCCTTGCTTGGTCATGGAAGCCCACTCAGTGACCTTAAGCAAGTCACACTCTCTCATCCTCAGAGGAAAGCAAAAGCAAACCCTTTCTGAACAAATATTGCCAAGAAAACCCCTGTTATAGAGTTGCTTTAGGGTTGCCGTGTGTCAGAAATGAGTTGAAGGCAGAACAATAACAAATTTTGATTTTAAAAATATCCCCCCACATTCTCTAGGGAGGGTCCTTTGTGTCCTCTTACCTCCTCTTTTGAAAATCTCTCTCCTTGTGTCATGAGCATCTCTTTAATGCTGCAAAAGAAAGGACAAGATAAATGAGGCTCAAAAGGAAAGAGAAAGCATGTTCTGGACAGTATTAGCCTTGCCTCCTTTAACACTAAAAGCTACAATGGTAGTGGAAACCATTGGCTAGTGGCAATTTGAACCCATTCCCTCATACTACCAAGGCTGAAGCAAGCCCTTCACTTCCAGTCCATGAGAAGCCAACTCCTCAGTGAGTGTCCAATGAGAAGCCGTATGGGTAGGCCAGGCATGGAAGTGGCGTTGGATTGACGTAGGAGACAGATCTCACTGTCAAAAAGCTTCAAGTAGTTGGTTATTTAGTGTGTGACTATTTACCAGTATGCAGGTACTGGCTTTAGGGATTTTCTTTTGCAGACCTCTATATGTCCTGATCCATCTCTGTGGATGGGTCTTATGATGAACATGGCTCTCCATGTTGATGGGGCCAGACCAGGTTGAAGGAGACAGAGTTGCCCCTATTCCCTGTCTACTTCTGCTTGTACGTCCTTTCCCCAGTGCCAAGTTGTGAACTGTAAGCACCTGAAGGCAGGGATCTGTCCTCCTTTAGTTCATACAGCTCTATGCACATTGACAATACACTCGTCTCTCCACATTTGTGGCTTTGACTTTTGCGACTTTGATTATTCATGAATTTTATTATGTTCTCTCTAGGAATCTCTAAGTCCTCCAGCACAACTCTGTGGTCAACTTGAACCAAAAAGTCACATTGAAGGACCTAGAGATTCTTAGAGAGACCACTCCACTAGCATTTGTAGCTCCTCCAGAGCAATTCTGTTGTCAATGTCTGGCAGATGTTGACCACAGAGTTGTACTGGAGAACATAGCGATTCCTAGAGAGGTGTTCTCTCAGGTAAAAACATAGTGTTTTTGTTATTTGCAGTTTTTCCACATACACAGGTGCCCTGTGTCCCTAACTCCAGCAAATGTGGAGGGACGAGTGTATTTTATAAATGACAGATAATCACAACACTGGTTGTCTACTCTCTACAAGATATATTGACACACTAACAGATTATTTATATTCTGCATGGTCAGATGTTGGCTTTTGGAGGCAGCAAAACTGGCAGGGCCCAGCTGAGATTTATTTCAGCCTCCAGAGGACACTTACTAGTTTGCCTTTAAGCCTTTGCCCTCTGGATCAAACACTTTGAAGGCATTCAGAATAGTCTCCTCTGGATCAGCACCTGAAAGGCAGGGAGAACCCCAGAGAGGTCAACACATTTTCTAGAAGCAGTCCTGTTCCTCCCATAAGATGGCACAGAGTGTGATACGGGTGCAGCTAGCCAGGAAAAGTTTGGGAAGTTGTGCAAAGAGAAACCCAGTCTTTTATACTTTCATGGTATGGCAAGGGCACTGCCTTTGCCAGGACATTCATGGTGGTCCAGACCTTAGCAGGGCATGACACTAGCGTGAAGTCCCTTGCACAAATGGTTGTACTGAGTTAGCATCCATGCAGTCCATGGTGTTCAGACCCCTTTGTTTTGCTTGCCATAGTCCCTTCCCCTTCCTTTCTGCTTTGTTTGAACTTGCCAGAGGTCACTAATGGGTCTCCATGGCTGAGCAGGGATTCAAACCTTGATCTCCCAGAGTCCTAGTCCAACGCTTAAACCACTCCCCCTTGCTGGCTTTCCAAAGTTTTCTTGGACAGATTTCTTCAGAAAGGGCTTGCCTTTGCCTCCCACTGAAGCTGAGAAAGAGTGACTTGCCCAAAGTATATGGCTGAGCAGTGATTTGAACCCTGGTCCCCTGGAATCCTAGTTTAACACTCAAACTGCTACTATACACTGACTCCTTTTCTAGGCCTGACTCAATCCAAATCTAAACCAATGCAGATGTTCAACTGAGGTGCTCATTCTTGACATTGCCCCAAAGCAAATTTGAATTCTCTGTCCACCCAAACTCTCCTCAGAGAAGGGGGTGTGTCATCTGTGTTGCATGGAAAGTCGCACCCCTTTTCCTTCTCACCTTTCAGTTTCTCTCCAAACATGGTCAGGAACACGGTGAAGTTGATGGGTCCGGGTGCTTCTTTGATCATATCGTCCAGTTCTTCATTCTTCACGTTCAGGCGTCCTAGGGAAAAGGGAAAATGCCACAAGTTTTCATTAAGAATCTATGTCCTGATTGAAAATACTGAGAGGCAGTGTAGTGTAGGGGTCTGAACATTGGGCTAGGACTCCAGGAGACCAGGGTTCAAATCCCTGCTAGGCCATGGAAACCCACCGGGTGACCTTGGGCAAGTCACTCTCATAGCCTCTGAGGAAACCAATGTTGAACCCCCTCTGAACAAATCTTGCCATGAAAACCCTGACACCTTAGGGCAGGGGTAGGCAACCTTTCCCCTTTAAGGGCCGAGGGACTTCATCTCCCAGAATCCCACAAGCTATTGGCCAATATGGGATTATTGGCCAACATGGCTGAGGCTTCTGGGAGCTGAAGTCCCTCGGCCCTTAAAGGGGAAAGGTTGCCTACCCCTGCCTTAGGGTTTCCGTAAGTTGGAAATGACTCAAAGACACACAACAACAAAGTTAAAAGCCCACCACTAGACCAATGGCAACCCACCAGACATATTTGATGGTCCACCAGAGAACTGGAGAACTTCCTGTTCTGGCGCGTGGAACTAGAGAAACAGTGTGAGTGTGTGTGTGTGTGTGTGTGTGTGTGTGGGTCCCTGGCCACCTGATAGGCATTGTGCAGATCAAGACCAGAACTTGGAACAGTTACTTTGGGGACTACAACACCTAGATTCCCCGTGCCAGCATGGCCAGCAACAATATTGATTGTGGGAGTCTGGGAGTTGTAGTTCAGAAAGTGCTATCCAAGCCTTGGCCAAGACAAGCTCAAACCAACTTCCAACTGATGACCTTCTCAGGCCTTTGCATTGTAAATGATGCTGCAGAACTCATCATTTCTGATTTTTTGGAGAGTTTTCTGCACATTCTGAATTTAATTCTGTCCTAATAAGGAATTTGGAGGTAAAATGAAGAGCATAATGACATTCAAAGTAGGATTGTGGCAGCACATTCCCCCCCCCCCCCGAAACATTCATTTCATTTACTAATTATCAGAGATTTCTTGAGGATGGATTGTGTGTTTTTTGGCTCACCTAATGCAGCAAATGTATCTCTGAGGTCTGCTTTGTCAATGAAACCGTCGCGGTTCTGATCCATGATGGTAAAGGCCTAAAATAGGACAGAAAGATAGGATACAGTCAGTGTTCTGAGTACAGTGTGGCCTCTTGCTAGACACTGGATTTTATTCATTATCAATTTTGACTTTTGCAAAAAATAAAGAAAATAAAGTTTTTAGTCTCTATGGATGAAACACCTGGTGAATGTTTAGAAAAGAAGGGACATATTGGATAAGATTCACCCCTCTGTAGATCAGTCTTAGCTGTGGAACACACTTCCCCTTTGTTATTAACTGCAGTCAAGTTGGCTTTGATTTATGATGATCCTATGGGTGAGAGACCTGCAAGATACCCTGCTATTAACAGTCCTGCTCAAGTCTTGCAAACTCAGGGCTTCCTTGATGAGTCTATCCTCACTCCCCTAGTGTCCTTTTAATCTACTTTTTCTAGAATTCTGAACTTGGAAGGTCCTTCAGGGTCATCTAGTGAAACCCTTTGGAGATGCACAGATACTTGGTATCTGCTGAGGTTTGGTTCCAGGACTGCCTGTAGATACCAAAATCTGTGGATGATCGAGTTCCTTTATATACAATGGCATAGTAAAATGGTGTCCCTTATATAAAATAGAAAAAAATGAAGGTTTTCTTTTTGCTTTTTGGATTCTGGTTTATTTTATTTTTTTGGAATATTTTCAAGCTGTGGATGGTTGAATCTGTGGATACGGAGGGCCGACTGTACTGCTAAATGCACCTGATCAATTGCCATTCAGCCTCTGCTGAAGAGCACTTTAGTGCAAGATGTCTAGATTTTTCCTTTAACTTTCAAGTGGATGATGAAGCCATTGAAATAATTAGAGTTTCTATTGCTTGGCTCAGTCACAAATCAGAATGAAAACTCGTCAAGAAATCAGAAAAAAGGCTAAGACTTGGAAGGGTAGTTGTGAAGGAACTAGATGAGTGGGCAGATATATCATTGAATACCAAAGTCAGGATTGTCCGTGCCACTGTATTTCCCATTTCTGTGTTTGGTTGTGAAAGATGGAGAAGGCTGACATGAACGAAAATCAGCTCATTTGAAATGTGGTGCTGGAGAAGAATTCTACGTATACTACGGACAGCTAAAAAAGGCAAACGAAGAGCAAATCATGCCTGACCTCTCCCTAGAAGCCAAGATGACTAACAGAGACTGATGTAGTTTGGACATACCATGAGAAGACATGGCTCAGCGGAAAAGATAATACTGCTTGGTTACTGTAGAAGGCAGTAAGAAAAGAGGAAGAGTGAATTACAGATGGATCGATTCAATCAAGGAAGCCATGGCTGGCCTGCATTTGCCAGACCTGCACAGAGCTGTTAATAACAGGCTCTCTTGGAGGTGTCTCATTGATAGGGTCCTCATAAATCAAAACCAACTTGATGGCCATTAAAAAACAAGGTTTTTCATTGATTTGCCCAATTTTTATAAATTGATGGGGATTATATTTCAGGAGGGTATCTGTCCTCAGCACAGTAGAGTTTTTTGGAGTCCGAGTTGCATGCTTAAACTGGTAAGAGTCCATTGTTCCAGCGTTTAAGCTCAGGCACTGTGAATAGGTTCCATGGTAAGACCCAGCTTCAGATTAAGCTCCAGTAAAGTCCCCTTTTAATTGGATTCCAGAGCCCTTAATCTTCTAGAATATTGAGTTGCCCAAGCCTTGGCATACATTGACATTTTTTTTAAAAAAGGAATTTTCTCTGTACATGAAGCTACTTCCAAGGACAGTTCTATGTAGCATGTCTGCCATACAAATGATTCTGCATGTGGAACTCAGGCTAAAATGTCTCACACCTAGCGAGTTTAGGGTGGAGGTAAGATTTGAACACAGGACACACACACACACACACACACACACACACACACACTGATTCACAGCCCAAGCTGCTGGACTGGTGTATTCTAAGAAGAATCTGCAAATACTTTGGTTGCAACCTTCCTGCCACAACAGGAAGCCTGCCTTCAATTTTTCAGACAGAGCTGGGAAAGTGAAGTGTTAAAAGCAACTGTGTTATGTTTCATGCAAACTTCACAGGGTAACACTGGTTATTTTTTAACAGAAATGCCATGACTTTTAGTGTCCTTTTAGAATGAGCAATACCTACTTATTACTTCCCAAGATAGATAGATAGATAGATAGATAGATAGATAGATAGCATTCTTTTCTTTTTTTAAATTCCAAGCTTTGGTGTCCAGCTCCATAGACGTACCTCTTTGAACTCCTGGATCTGTGCCTGTTCAAACATAGAGAAGACATTGGAGTTGGCACCTTCTGCTCTCTTCTTAGCTTTCTTGGGTGCCTGAGGACAGAATTCAGACATGACATTGTATTCTTGGGTGCTTGAACTTTTGCTCACAAACCTCCCTTCTACTGAGTTAGATGGAGAGTCCATCCAACCAAGCCTATGATGATTCTTTCAGAGTCTTGAGCAGAAGCACCCCCTCCTGCCCCTCCTCTCCTGGCATCTTTTAGACTGGAAATTCTGGGGACCAGAACCTTCCAAACTGGAAGCCCTTGCTCTGCTGCTAAGCTTCTTGGTTCTGGCTGTTGCAAAGACTGCTTTGCCAGGGGGCCTTAAGGGGCAGGGACAGAATACGGATGCACCAGACACTGACTGTGGCAGTCCCCTGTTGACCAAAGTAAGGTCACTTCGACACTGGGTGCTGCCACACAGATGCCTTTGAGAGCCATGAAACCACAAGCCATTGTGTGACCATTCCTATTTGAGTGAGGAGAATAAGGATGGACAAAAGACAGAGAAGGGTTACACCAGGTGGAAGTTGGCAGGGATGGGTGGTAGCATCTTTTGAAAAGAGAGTAAACATATTTAGGGAGATAGGTTTCAGCTCCTTAGTTGGCTCCTTTAAAGTTAAACCCATAAGAGGTTCACCATTTCTCTGACCTGGAAGTCACCAGCTGCCAGTGGAAGATGGTGTAGTTTGGAGAACCCATAAAATTCTGTATGTAATCAAGTTAATTGTGTATGAGAGAAAGAGGGAAGGGAAGGGAGGGGAAGACCCACTGTCACCACCACTGAAAACAGTTGCCAATCTATATGGGATGCACTTAACACTATCAGGTTGCACAGTGCTGTCGAAAGCACATGAGGGCAGGTCCCTGCCCCAAAGTGGTTACAACATCACACGGGAATTGAGAGCTAAAGGAAACAGAGATAGGAAAGACAATGGTGAATTTCTTCTAGTTGAATTAGACATAATGAGGCTTGATGAGAGGGCAAAGGGAAAGATTTGGGAGGACGGATTTGAGGAATAGGGGTGGCATCATGTGGGATGCCATTCCAGGCAAAATGTCCAGCTAAGCAGAAAGGTCAGAGTCAACTAATGAAAGAATTTGGTGCCAGTGAATCATCTGATTTTTTTTCCTAACTCAAACAATCATCATGGTGCCCGAACATCAAAACAGTTGCTTTGTGAGAATTAAGTTCATCTGGAGGTACTTTACACTGGAGTAAACTAAGGTTTCCCTCCATTGTCAGGAGGAGATACAGGCCAAGATCCTATATTGGGGTTACATTGTGTCAGTCTCCCCATGTGGCACTAGGCACTGCTTGTGCAATGCATCCTTTGTATTGAATGGCAACCAAATGCACAACTGAATTTGCAATTGAATGCTGACCTGACTGGGTGGGCCTACATCATGTTTCTGCACATGCACACATGCATGCGCATTGTCAGGCACCATAGTGTGTGCAACTCTACTTCTGTAGTCCTGAGCTGAATGCAGACATTCTGTGATGGACAAAAACATGCCACTGCTTCCATAAGGGAACTTAGGCATGCCCAGGATTCAGGGTTCCAGCCAAACCTTTCAAAGAAATCTTTCATTCCCCACGACAGTAAAATACCAGCCTCAAAGAACAAACATGGGCTGGCATCCTGATAGTGACATATGTAAGTCTTAAGTATTGTTTTGGACATTGCAAAGGTTGTATTCCCTTTCTCACTCAGCAGTGTCCAAAGTCCTCCCCAGGATTCACCATTTTGCTGCAATAGTCATCTATTCTGTTGCTGATGGGAAGCTGGGTGAAAGGAGAAGAATCTGGCTACGTCCCCATAGCCAGACACAGAATTATTTCTTTATCTTCTGAAACCTCTGAAGGACCATGGTGGCTCTCCTTGGTTGGTGTCTGGCTATGAGTCTACAACCAGATGCTTCTTTGAGGCTCCCCTGTTCTTTACCAGCCACAGAATGGCCATGGAGGGGGGCTGTGGCAGCACAATGGTGACAAGAGAGCCACAGCAGAGTCTCATGTGCGTAACTCATATGCTATGCTCAGTCACCTAAGAACCTGGCCCTGGTATCCCCTGAATGCTCAGCCTTATCTGTTTCAAGTGGGTGCCCACCACTTTGTGTAGTCGATCCCTCTGTAAATGAGACTTGCTCACCTCTCAATTCTTTGGGAACATGCAGACCAAGGGAAGTCTGTTCCCCACTTAGTTGCAGCTACTACGGGTCTCTGGTTAATAGAGGATGTATGACTGGCCCAGATGTGACCCACTTCCCCCCTGCCTCCCTCTGATCCAACCTTCCTTCAGTTCCTTTTACTCACCATCTAGAAGACCAGGGTGCACAGCTTGTAATGTTGTTCAAAGAGAGAGCTTTCAGTGGGTGCCCCTCCGACTTGGGCTGCCCAGACAATAAATACAGCCCATCCCAGATTAAAAATAAACCCATGTCCACTTTTGGCTGTAAAAGGTGAGTGACTCCCCCTTCCTGCTCCAACCTCTCTTCTTCCTTCTTAAATGACAGGGCTCATTGTCATGCGGTGACATGTGAGACAACAGAAGCCTCCAAGGTTGGGGACATACCAGCCACAATCCACACACACACACACTCTGCGGCCTCTCCATTTAAGAAGTTAATGCACAGTTTTGCTGGATGGCTGGATAATAGCACCTGTGTGTGTCAGTTTAGCTTCAGTGTGTGCATCTAAAAGTGACAGAAACAAGGAAAGGGGACAACACCCCAACCCAATTGAAGGGCCCACATGTACATGCATGCCTAGGTCAATTCTGATCCTCTCACACATACAGAGAATGGAAATCATGGCCAGATTCCTGTTGGTAGCCCCAACTAGAGTAGACCCATTGAGTCAGTGTTGACTTACTGTTCAGCAAGTGGGTCTATTTTTATTGGAAGTGCCACTAGAATTTAGGCAGTGACTTTGGAGAAACTACTTTTTGGAATCACAGCCTTCCAAATTCGAGCTTTTATTCGTATTTTTCTTGCTGTTGCTGTTGTTTGCCACCAAGTGAACTTCAATTTATGATGACCCAATGAGTGAGAGACCTCCAAGAGCCCTGGTCATCAACTGCCCTCCTCAAGTCCTGCCAACTCTGGGCAGCCATTGCTTGCTCATTGGAGTCCACCACCTGCAGAGTAGTCGTCCTCATTTTTCCCCTACTGTTTTCAACTTTACTGAGCATCATCATCATCTCCTATTAGTCATGTCATCTAATGATATGTACAATAGCCTCAGTTTAGTCTTGTAGGCTTCAAATGAGACCAGGTTTAATTTGGCCTCAGAAACATTTATTTGTCTTTTTGGCAGTCCATGGTGTCTTTAGAACTCTCCTCCAGCACCACCTTTCAAATGAGTGGGTTCTCCTCTTCTCAGCCTTCATCACTCTCCAGCTTTCACACCACACATTGAAACATTGGGCAAACGTTGAACTACTCATTTTTCCCATTTGAATCCAGAAATTGGTTCCAAGCATAAGTCAAATATCAGAGGAGAGTCATTCTCTGAAGATGCCAGCCACAGATGCTGGCAAAACGTCAGAAAGAAACTCTTCTAGAACATGGCCACACTGCCCGAAAAAACCCCAAAAACCCTATGGATGCTGGCCAGGAAAGCCTACGACTTCACAACTCCTTTATCTGTCCCCAGATGAGGGCCAAACTAAATCATTAGATTGAGTGTGCATTCAATAGGTCTAGTTTTAACTCTGCAAATACTTGTCACTGGGGACCAGCAGGGTCTAATGCCCTGTAAAGGCATCAGATGGGAGGAGAAGGAGTAGCGCAATGTCAGCTCTGGATGGTTGTAAACAGGGAGGAGGAGGAGGAGGCATAACTTGCTAGAAAAGACAATAATTCTAGGAAAGGTAGAGGGAAGCAAAAAGAGAGGAAGGCCACACACCAGATGGATAGACTCAATCAGAGAGTCCATGGGCATGAATTTGCAGGACCTGAGCAGAGCAGTGGAGGATAAAGGGGCTTAGAGATGTCTCATCCGCAGGGTCATCATGAGTTAGGGTCAAGTCGAAGGTAGTTAACAAGAACAAGGTCTACCATTCTTAATTTTCTACTGGAAATTTTTCATTAAGAATTTACCTTCTAGTAAGGTCTAGTGACAAGTTGATAGATACATTTCCAGGGCATGGAAAAGTTATTGTTTTGGACTTTGTTGGTGTTGTGTGCCTTCAAGTCATTTCCAACTTATGGCAATCCTAAGGTGACCCTATCACAAGGTTTCCTGGGGCTGAGAGTGTGTGACTCACCCAAGGTCACCCAGTAGGTTTCCATGTCTGAATGGGGATTCAAGCCATGTGCTCCAGAGTCCTAGTCCAGTGCCCAAACCACTACACCATGCTGGCTCTCAACTGAGAAGATGCCAAGCAATGAGAAGTAATGGAGGATGCAGGGCCTACCAGGCATTACCGCTGGTGAGCAGCCTTGTGGGGCAGTCTTTCAGGCAGAACCCTGGGGCAAATGGATTTTTTCTTCCAGCTGACC